TACTGTAATCTGTACTTGGTTCTCTTCTCGTGTTTTTGCTAATTTAGTCTGCTCTATGTCATCATTCTATGGTTATCTTCATTTGAGAGGAACTACTTAACACCAGACAGCAATCTCTAGTTATTTTTCTATAGTTTTTATTCCCCCAACTTCACTGAGATCTTGGTTGATGGCCCAACAAACCTTTATTGGAATTACCAGCAACTTAAATACAGTAAACAGACAGAATTGTTCTTAGGCTGTGACAGCAGAGACTCCAAACTCCCTTGCCTTCAATCTATCTGACAGGTGTCTGTTCACTAGAAAACAAAATGAAAAGATTGCGAATTCTCATCTATAAAAACTCATACTTCTGTAGATCTGATACCCTGTTTCACCAATACCTGGCTCAATGAGCATACCTCAGAATGAGAACAACGACTATGGTGAGTCAAAGAAATTGTCAGTTTTATTAAAACCTTTAATGTCAAACATAATCACAGACTAGTCTGTTGTCACTCTCAAATCCCTCTAGATCGGTTCCTCAATTCCAGCTTCTATTTCAATGTAACCTTCCACATAAAGTTGTGCAATTACTTTCAAGCACCCTTGCTGGACCCCTTGCAATGTACTTACAGGAAAACAAATCTGTTAGTGAATGATGCAATCATTTTTGGGCAAAGTTTCATGCTGTTGAATACCACCTTGAATACTCAGGGATGTACGCCAGAATCCTGTAGGTAAAGCTCAGCTTGGGCTTCAACACCATAAGCCAAGCCTTTACCAGAAGCTCACACATCAGGCAAAAATGACAGCTACAACAAAATCTGTTACTTTCCTCAGGATGCCTCTTTGATGAATGCTGAACAGAATGCCTAGATAGGCAGTAATTCAACCATGTTTCTTCCTTCAAAAACATTGTATGTATACAGATAAAACAAAAAAACATGTTATATATTAACATTTTAAACATCTTAATTGAAAAGCAAAGTAGAATGAAAGTCAAATAATTTATTTGTGTGCAGAAACGGCAAATAAAGCTGATTCTGATTAAGATGAACTGAAAAAAAATTCCTTTACCTACAAAAAAGTATACATATTTTTTTTTACTTCAATGTTGAACAATACTGTGATGAGATCATCTTGAATCATATGGAAAGGTGCCTTTGAATAGCAGCACTGAGTATTATTTTACCTTGTTCAACATGTGAAAGGATGAGTCTGGCCAGCGTCACTTTAAGAATCGATTCTCCATGACCAGTACATGATACAGCACCACTGATGTTGTCTGCATATCCTCCACAGCCTTATTACCAAAATAAAAAATAAAGAAAAAGTTTGCAAAAATAAATAAATAAATAAACAATAAAAATGGAAACTGTAAATATAGCAGAATTTAAACTGTGAAATTTAAATAAAACTTTTAAAATTATTTAATATTTATTGATGCTACTGTACTGCATTATAAGTTTGGTGACGAAAACAAATTCATAGAAATAAAATAAAATAATAAAATGCATATTTTTGTGATTATATGAAAGCAAATGTGTCCAAATTTTCGAATTTAAATGAATTAATGGAAATATTTGATTCTTTGCATTAAAAAAATCAGCAATTTGTCTTATTAAAGTAATAAAAGAAATCATCCAAACTGCATTTTAATTTTCTCCTCTTCCATTTTTAAATGAATTACTTTTAAAAAAANATAAAAAATAAAGAAAAAGTTTGCAAAAATAAATAAATAAATAAACAATAAAAATGGAAACTGTAAATATAGCAGAATTTAAACTGTGAAATTTAAATAAAACTTTTAAAATTATTTAATATTTATTGATGCTACTGTACTGCATTATAAGTTTGGTGACGAAAACAAATTCATAGAAATAAAATAAAATAATAAAATGCATATTTTTGTGATTATATGAAAGCAAATGTGTCCAAATTTTCGAATTTAAATGAATTAATGGAAATATTTGATTCTTTGCATTAAAAAAATCAGCAATTTGTCTTATTAAAGTAATAAAAGAAATCATCCAAACTGCATTTTAATTTTCTCCTCTTCCATTTTTAAATGAATTACTTTTAAAAAAAATCAGCAAAAAAAAAATACCTAAATGTATTTTTAAATGTAAAATTTTAGAAAATCAAACTGTATTAACAAAAATGCCTTTTAAAGTTAGAGTTGTATAATTTAACTCATGAATAAAATTACTCATAGATCATCCAAACTGCATTTTCACTAAGACTGCTTATTTTGATTCCTGAATTATATGATAAATAGATTAGTATTTAAACTTGAATTTCAAAAAATGTTGCAGTAAGTTAAATTGAATAGGTGCAATTTAAAATATGGCACTAACTGAAGTCTAGATTATCACAATTTCATTTATTAGTCAAAACCATACATCTTTGACTTTGAAATGAAAACAATTTCAGGTATTAAATTTTAATTGTGAAAACTGGACATTTGAAACATTTTTTTAAATGAAAAAAAAAAAAAATCTTATTTACATATTAAAAATTACATGTAAAACATTACTTTGTCTCATTTAACTGATTTACAAATTGAGGAGTCTTGGAGAAGGAAATGAAAATGCAGTTTGGATGATCAATTTCTAATTTCATTTATAGATAAAAATGCAGCGTGATGGAAAAGGATTTCTATTTATCTATTTTAAAAAGAAAATTGGGACATATTTGCTTTAACAGATTACATTCCTTTGGACTGTTAATAACATACCAATGACAGGAGAATCTCCAACTCTGCCAAGCATTTTATTTCTGATCCCTCCAGTGGATGTTGCACATGCAACGTTCCCTGCAGAGTCCAGAGCTACAGCCCCAACAGTATCGTGGGCCCTTGAATAAAAAAACAGTTTATTTCAACTTAAAAATGAAATTCTTACTCTTTACACAGAGACACGTTTTTAAATTGGTCCAAATTATCTACAACATGTCAATCCTCATTACAACATTATTGTGGTCAATACCACCTTTGCAAATAATTGCCTTTAGCTGACAGGACAACCCATTAAGAGTTGTAATTATACGACTGTTGGAAAAAAAAAAAATTGCATTTAAGATAAAAAAAAGAAAAACAATTTCGTCTCTCAATTTGCTCTATTCGAGCTGCTCAGTGGGGCAGTGGGCGGCACAACTGCCTTGCAGCAGAAAGGTTCTGACTTCAATTCCCGGGCTGGGAACTTTCTGCATTGAGTTTGCATGTTCTCCCTAAGCATGCATGAGTTCTCTCTGGGTACTCTGGCTTCCTCCCACAGTCCAAAAACATGACTCTTAGGTTAATAGACTTCTCTAAATTGTCCTTAGGTGTTTGCATGAATGGTTGTTTGTCTCTGTGTTGCTCTGTCCAGGGTGTACCCCTCCTCTCGCCCGTAGACAGCTGGAGATAGGCACCAGCACCCCTTGCAACCACTCTTGGGATAAGCGTGACGGAAAATGAATGGATGGATAGAATATGCTCTATCCAGAATTCCTCAAGTGGAAAAGATTTAGTTTCACCTGGGTTTAATTTAATAAAAAAATCTTTGGCCATCTGATTATTAATGAATTTATCGAAAAAAGAACCGACAGATGATTCAATCTGCTAATTAATCGTTAGTTGCAGCCCTAAAAATTACACATGCCTAGTTGGGCTGAAAGTCTTCTATAGTCTAACTTATCTGTAAAACTGTATGAAATAATAGATATGCTTCTGTACAATTAAGTATCAAAATGACTGACGAAATGACGAAAAACCTATATGATAAATTACAAAGATCATCTACCATGTTAGACTGAACAACAATAGTTTAGAAAAGAGCATACCACTGTGTGTTGAATTCTTCATTTACTCCTGCGATGTATTTCTTGTGTTTTTCCCATTCCTTCCTCTCATATTCAGTCACCAGTTTATCTGTAGGAACCATGGTGATCCCAATGCTCTCTGCAAACTTGTTTGCACCTCTGCCCGTCAGCATTACATGGGACGTCTGGAAATTTCCACAACAGCAAATAGGTAGAAGATATGTTAAATTTATTTAAAAGAAAAACGATGATTATAAGGAATGGCCTCCATGATTTTGGATTCTGAGCAGTGTTTAAAAGAACTTTGTTGGATGTCTGGGAGTGAGATGGATCTGGTGGCAGAGGTGGCAGCTAGACAAACCAGTTGAACTCACTTTCAGGGACAAAAGTTAACTGAAAATGTCTGAAATGAGATCATGTTGAGCAGATTTCTGATTTATACCTTTAAGAAACTTTTATTACGCATCTAAATCTCTAAAGAAACCTCTCTCTATGAGGAACTACAGAGCACCTGCTCAAAGGTACATAGGCCTTCTGGCCAATGAATGAGTTGAAATGCTTAACTAATGTTAAGGATTTCTGGGTTACACTTCTGGAACCATTACCACATAATCTATGATAAGTGGCAGGCTTTTATTCACTCATTACATCCTAAAATGGGATGAACAGATGATGCTATTGTATTTTTCATTTTAATGAACAAAGAT